ACCCAGCGTGCAGAACCACTACACCACGAAAGCATGATAGGAAGGCAGGAAAAATACCTTATAATATGTTGGAGATTCATACTTATCAGCCCGAAAGGGATGTCAGTCTCGAAACGGCATTTTGCGCCGAAAGATTTGAATGCGTTGCATCACTTTTCAAATTGTTGCTACTAAATATTATCGCCCTGTATTATATTTAAAGAAATTAAATAACAAAGAATTTGCATGCATGTGTGTATGTATCTTGCATCGTGAAAAAGCAACGGAGCGTAGAACTATCAAATTCTGAATAATATAGTCCTCCACTTGAAGATGGGCACTTGGAAGCCAGAATTTTGAATTTCGTATGGTTTTATTAACTATTTCGTGTTTTGTAAAACTTTAATGAATTTTTCATTAACAAACACAAACTCAACGATTTCAAAGTGAGCAGTAGCAACACTATGGAATAAACATTTTTATCTCATGTTCGAGACTGTCTATGGAAAAATCTAAAGATGCGCTGTTTTAGAATATTTGGTGATTTTGCTGTTGAATTCAATTTTATATGACATAAAAGCCAAGAGAGTAAAATTAAATAAATAAATGCTCTAAGCGTTAATAATAAAAAGAGAAACAAAAATGTTTTGTAAAGCAATCTTAGTAAGAAAACTGAACATTGATATGATGAACTGAGAAAAGACTAAAAAGAATAGAAAAAAAAAATGTATGCCAAAAACTTAACTCTGCATCGGGAATTCTAAAAGGATTCTGCTATACTGCTTTTAAAATTTTTGCAATTTTACTGTTGAGTTGCATTTGGCGTAAGTGCTAAGAAAATGATGCTTAATAACAAAACTAAAATGACCCCCCCCCTCCAAAACAAGTGGGGCAGCAAGAGTGAGTGTAACCGAAGTCTACGAGCTCAGCGGGAGCGTGGAAAACCTTAACAAACCCTTTTGGGCGGCCGTTAAAATTTGAAGCCTTTCGGACTTTTTTTTTTTTCATTTAAAATTTCCTTATTGTAACAGTTCCCAAACTGAAATTTTAGTCTCGTATTGTCAAAATTATTCTAATAGATGTTATCTTCTTTTACTTATAGCTCATTTAACTGAAATGATGAGATTAAAAAGGTAATATTAAATGCAATTTTCATCGCAGTTTTAGCACAGCAGAGTGTTGTTCCTTCTGAGAATTTGCCTAATAATAAAAAATTCGTTAGCACTTACGGAAAAAGTAATTCCAATCAAATACATTTTGAAATCAAACTAACAATATGCAAATCAAGCCTTTCATCTCTTTTATTCAGAGCAATTATGTGGTATTATATCTCTTCTATTTTAAAGTGCAACCTTTAATTTCAGTACCACCGATAGAAAAAGGATTTTAATTCTAAGAAAACAAAACAAATAAAGTACATGAAGCAAATATATATATGTAAGATATAACAAAATATGATATCTGCTCTAAGAATAATTGGCGAATAGCTAGCAGAGGCTGAGCGACACGCTGTCAGCAAGCAGGCGAAGAGGCGAAATTGCTGTCTGCCTAGCAGAAGTCAGGAAAAAAGGAAGGCGTAGTTGTTTTATCAAGAGTATTTATACTAAGCATGATGCATAAGTACAGCTATCTGTGATTGGTTAATTTTAGGTTGTTAATGTAACATGGAAAGATCTCGAATTTGGGAGAGCAGATGAATTTAGGGGGAGAGCATAAAATCTAGAATAGTTAATTTTGAGGTCACCAATTATACTTGAAACAGCTATCGCATTTTTTTTATCTTGCACACACACACACATATATATACAAAGGTAATTTTTAGTCTTCCGAAAAGCCTAATACTTTCGCTAAAGCTGCTAAGTAATAAAATAAGAATTTATTTATTAAAAGAGTTTTGTATTATCTCCTACGAAAGGAAAGGATATTAGGAAATTTAAAAATTGTACTTTAATGGTATTGTAGTAAAAATTGTTATTAGTATTGTCAAAAGCAAGAAAAATTTTTTTAATTAAAAGTAAGTTTATAAAAATTGCAAAAAGAGTAAAAAATCAGTAAAAAAAGAAAATGCCAACAAAATACGGAATAATTATTGCTATTAAACGGAAAGTAATTGACTTTTCAAGAGGAATAAACCGATTTCCGATCAATTTAAAATAATTAATAGAAGCGAAAGAGTTTCGTTGCATTTTTACTGCAAGAAACAATGAAAAAATTTAAAGTCAGTTAGATTTTAAGCCAAAATTGATTCAAAAACTGTACTATTGAAGAACTAGTTTGAAGAGGACATAAAAAATAACTATTAAGAACTTTGCTTATTTGATTCAAAGTACAAATTAAGAACCAATCTTAACTAATCATTGAAGTAAAGAGTCAAATTTTCTTACATAAGAAGGATTATTCCCGGACACTTTCGCCGTTGATAATAGTAAAAAAATGCAAAAATCAAATAAAATAAGCAGAAAAGGAAGTTAAACTGCACAAATTAATAGATTCTTAATTATAAATAATTTTTGCTCCTTTTGAACTTTATATTTCACTGTATATAGGAGCGTACTGATTTAGCTTAATTTAATAAAATAAATTAGAAACTGGGAAAAATCTGCGATTCTGTAACGACTTTTTTTGTGAAAAAATAATGGAGTATAAGATTAAATTCAGTTTGACTTAAATCTAAACTTTTCTCTAACTTACTTGTTGTTTTCGTTGTGACTTATCTCAGTTGTCTGACAGTAAGTAACATCAGAATAAGCCCGCGAAATTCATCGTGGCAAGGAATGCAAGACTGCGCCTGTCCTTGAGCACCATGCAGGTGACAGTATGACTTTGCTCAGTCCCACCCCCAATTTTGATGGAGAGCAACCCGGGAGGACGGGTCCGAGGATCTTCCACCATCAACCTCTCAAGAGAACTCTCAGCTTGCAACGTATAAGTGCTCCCATGCCGCACGGACACTATACATTTATAAATAACCATGTCTTCTCCAGGATTTCAACACGGGCCCTTCGTTACGGCACTCAGTCGACAACTACTATCCCGGTTGAAAGGCCAAACTTTATTCGTCTTCCGGATTAATTACGGCTCTGTCTTTAGGTTTAAATTTATGAGGTATTTCTCCTGCCTTCTTAGTATGCTTTCGTAGTGTAATGCTCAACACACTCGGCCCTCCTGGCGAGGGCATTGCTCATTTTTCATAACTTCTTAAAAAAATCCTAATACCTCTACAAACTTAGAACACTAAACTAACAACGACAGAGTAAAAATTCGGACTAAACATGCATTTTTACGTCAGAAAGTTTAAACTTAATTTGGCTTAATCTGGACATTATTCTAAATTTTTTAGACTGCTGGACAAGTTATCGTTCTGCCTTGAAGTTCAAACTTGGAACTCTAAAGACAAGAAACAACAAGGGAGTAAAAAATCAGACTAAACGTTTATTTTCCTATCAGAAAATTAAAGCGTTAACAAAATTAATTTCCTCTTCTTGGGAAGGGGTCGACATACAGTAATATTACAAAGTATTTACAGCACGGCTAAGTCATTTTTCATGTGTTACTGTAATGTAGTATTTAGCATATACAGTTGGCAACCGGAAGATGCTCTGTCGATTCTTGCCAAACAGGTTCTAAACTCCTGCTCACAAAGATGTAATGATTCTATATAGTAACTGAATTAACATTACTCAAGAAAATTTCGATAATGCAAAGTTTCTCTCAAAATAAAGTTAACATTTAAATTCTGCAGTCAAGAAATAATATCGCTAAAGGTAAATTCGTTATCTGTCCTTTCTTAAGTACGTTGTTTCTGAATATTTGAAATAAAAGCAAATAAAAATGTAAAACTGCAGAAGCTAATAAAAAATTTTAGTTTCTGCATTAGAACTCAGTTTGTTAGTAATAAATAAACTACCCTTTGACTTAATAAAAGAATGGAAAGTGAATGAGTCCTTTCAACACAGCTGTTTTCGTGAAAAGAAATCTTGCAACTTAATATGAAAGCAGATAAGTAAATAGACTTATCTATTCGTTGTTAATTGCATAAAATTTGCTTTCAAACGATTTTCTGAAATTTTCTTAAAAATTCCAACTACTTTATTTCTCATTTAAAACATGACTTCATTTGCAGAAGGAATTCAAATTAAGAAGGCGACTACTAAGTGATTCTAAAGAAATCACCAATGCAGCGTTCTGCAGCAAAATTGCTCATTGAATGAATTCAATTATTGTTCTACCGTAAGTTTTTTATAAAACAAACAAAAAAAAACTTAATATAAATTAAACAAATTTTGTGAATAAGTTACCGTTTTTTGAGGGAAAATTAAATTATAAAATGAAATATTGATTCTGTTAACTGTAGAAGAAAAATAGGTGATTTTTTTGGGCAATGTCATTTAGCGATTGTGTTAAAGATAAAATAGCTAGGATAACTAACTGTCTATTTAAATTGGAGACATGATTGTTCTTTTGCATGTATTCAGGTCTGATTATCACTGAGGCTTACAAAGGTTCAGGTCGAGGACTATAAAATTTAGGGGGCTCCCAGATAATCATATATCTCTTCATAACACTTTTTTGAGAGCTTGAAAGCTAACACTGTGAATCAATGAAAGAGCTCTGTGCCTAGGGCTCACTCTTAATCGAGCCCTGCATATAATCAATTTTAGTGAGTTTTGAAATTTTTTCTTACCTTGTAAGCCACAGAAAAGATTATAATTAAATATTAGGAAAGTTTTTAACATTAGGTTAAAGAAAAAAAAAACGAATTACGATTTGATATTCATTGCATTTACGCGTTATTTATTTATTTAAATCGATTAAATTCCTTTTTTAAAATACTGGCTAAAGCTTTTTTGCCCATCCATTCCATATACCTTTCAATTCATAATATTTTTAAAAATATTTTAAAGCATTCCTTCGGATCTCGAAAAAACTTAATTACATCCACAAATAGGTAAAAATCTAATATTTATTTTATAACTTTTAAAATACACATATTATGTACTAAAGTAAAAAAACAATCTTACCTTTATTAACTCCTTTTCCAGGTAAATGATTTCCGAATGCGTTAAATATCACATCCGAAGTGTAGAAGAGTTTTGCCTTAAATGAGTAAAACGCGCATCACTGATTAAATAACCAATGACCATCAATGAAAAGATGTTGGACGACCCCCTAACTCCACCGAAATGATGCCGAGATTCTTTCCTGATAGATTATCTCCATCACTGCTTTGATCACTTTATTACGTCATGATTAGCTCGATCACGTGACCAGCAGCCTCACAGAATTATAAGCGTCATCCCGCTAACGGCTGAGCTTCGATAATTTTCTTTTCAAAATTGAGATAGGAATATATTAACCTTCAAATTTCATTTCTGTATAACAAGTGACATAAGTATTTATTTGCACGTAGCAAATACTTAAAAAAACCATAAATTAATAATAGTTAGAAATATGATTGCTTTTCTATAAAAGGATGCTGATTCATTATTATTATTATTTTTGAGTGGCTGTTTAGAATTTTACATCTTAAATGTTATAAGATGTTATTTTTGTCACGAAGTTAAATTTTATAGCATTCGAAGCATCCCCTTTTTCGATAGCAATTTTTCCAACAAGGTTTAAATCACTTGCTTAAAGAAAAAAATCTGCTTAATATTTCGGGTTTTAAAATTCTTCCTTTATTTATTATTTTTAGTTTTAAAAATGCAGTCAAATGGATGACTGTTTGCACTTCAAACGATACGTATCCAAATCACGCAAAAAATTTTAATTTGATAATTACATAAACAGTTGAAAAACAGTAAAAGTTGAATCGTTGCCAGTTATATATATAGGATTTTAAAGGGGATAAAATAAACAGCATGCTTCATTTTTATCATACAAAACCTTCCTTAGTTTTGTAAATGATGAAAGATCAGAGGATCACGGGACACTATCAGTTCATATAGCGGTTTGAAACTAGCTGCTTTACTAATAAAGTTTCCGACCTCTTGTTAAAACATGGAAGCTTGTTACTGAAGTGCTTTCATAGAATTAAAGCATATAAAAACTATCGATATGAAAGAAATTTTCAAGAGACTAATGGTAAAAGAAGGGAAGACGAAGTCCTCGGATTTCATCCCTTGATCCAATCTCGGCAATAAGTTTGCATTTTTTTCATTAGAATCTCTACTTTTTAAGCTATAATTTTCATTTTTAACATTAAACATTTGTTGAATTTGAAGGAAATTCTCACTGATGAACAAAATAGTTTTAATGCATTTTTTTTAAGCCAGTTTGACTGTAAAGCTTAAACATTAGTGAGAGATTTGGTTGCAATACTTTCTTTAACTTTCCATTTCATGCTTATCAAGCAACTTTTAGAGAAAAAAAATATGAAACCCTTGTGTTTTAAGGACTGAATCTCAAGATTCTGGTTATAATAACAATCATAAAAACAAAAAAAAAAAAAAAAAAAAAAAAAAATTATCTCCGGTTGTTTTATTCTGCATAAGATTCTAAAATGTTTTGCAGGGGGAAAAGGTTATTTTGAAGCAGGCGACTCGCCAGGACTCGAATCTGGACCTCTCGAATACGCATCGAGTGTGCTACAGGTGACAGGTGACGGAGGACGGGGGCGCCTGGTGTCTAACATAGGTAAACAGGCATATACCCCGCGTCCTCCACTGTGTAGAGGCAAAAACTCCCTGGAGCCCCATGAGGCCGCCCCGGGAGTTTATTAGGATCTTAAAAGTTAACATGGCCATACAAGGGCTAGACTACATGTAGTACATTGTAAGAACGTGAGACAACTGAAGGTTATGGTTACAGAGGTAGAACAAAATAAGACATAAACATAAAACATAAATGGAAACATATAAAGAAAAACATGAAGAAACACATAAAGCACTAAAAACACAAGAAGGTACACTAAGATACACTAAAATACACGTAACTAAATAAACACCGAACACACATAGATAAACGCGATGCAGACAATTAAATAATGTGGACACATAAAAACGAAACATTTGATGATGTTATGAGACGCATAATAGCACGTAATTATTTAAACAGCGCGTGTGATACTGAGAGGACACTCAATAAGGCACGCATATATACGTGAAGCAATGTGATGACAGTAGTTCATGAAGCCATGATAATAATAGTACGCACAAGAAAACGCGTAGATATACAAGATGCAAAGTAAGGACTAAGGTACATGTCGAGTGTGCTACAGTGACACCACGGATGTATGCTGGAAGGTGGAAGGAATAATATAGTTATTAAACGTATACTCCCTATAGGGCAACTAGGGATTAGAGCAACCAATCGTCAAATCCTGGGGGTGACGAATTATAGTCCACCACCAGGTGCCACTGCAGAGTCATTAGGTTATTTTCAAGCACGCGACATGAAAAATGAGCAATATTCTAGCCGGGATTCGAGACTGAACCTTTCGAATACTGTCCGAGGGCGGAAAACTTTTCAAATACAATTAGTTGAACACGCTGTTATGAAAATAATGTCGAGTTATGCATGTAGGTTTGAGGGGAATTCCGTCAGTAACGTCGTTGGATACAGAGGTCCAATGTAGCTTCTTGGCAAAATAATAATAATATTAATAAGTAAGAAGGTTTTAGGAGTTACAAAGCTGCCTGTAATTGTAAAGCCGAAAGTCATAACGACCAAGATCAACATCGTGCATAGTCAGTGTGACGTTGAGTGTGTTGGGTAAGAATGAAAGATATGTTTTGCTTTATATGATTTGAAATTTGTAATGGTGGAATTTTTTGAAGTCAGTAGGATGGCGAATTAATTTTCATGCAGATATCGTAAAACTTGAGATGAGTCGAATCAAATAAAAAGAGATATCATGGCTAGCACTAGACTTGCAAGGTTTATCTCAGGATGGAAATGAAAAGCAACAGATAATGGTAAGAGGAGGTGATTAAAATGTGCTTCTCGTGTTCCTTATACATCGCCCTACATAGCTAACCTTTTTGGTGCTCTTCTTGTCAGATAAGAGGCTGGGGCTAAGCAAGGCTCTGAGGACAAATATCAACGAAGCTTTTGACACCTTCTTCCCTGTGGGTGCCTGAATTATGGAGCTGTATGTTTTACTCCACTCCCATTGATTACAACAATTATTTTATACCTGCAGAACGGAGACTGTCAGACTGCAAATCTCAGCCAGTACAATAAACAACTCCCAAGGGGGAGGGGATAATGGTAAGAAAGATTTTGGCTTTTTTCGATGAAATCTCAGAATTAACACATGTGGTCATCCATGAAATAAATACAGAAAATAATCTCCCGTGCAAAGCAAAACCTTACTGGTACGTTAAATTAAGGAGAAGATGAGAGAAAACATATTGAAGGTATGGTTAGAAAATAGATCATAAATCTAAAGTCAGTCCGTATGTTAACCCAGTAGTTTTATGTCTGAAAAAAAATTACCACCTTCAGTTCATAAACCATGGCTTTTCCCAGTTGATTACAGTAGACTAAATGCGGTAACAAAACATGTAGAGTTATTAGGTTATTTAGAAGCAACAGACTTGAAAAATGAGCAACGCCTTCGCCGGGAATCGAACCGCGGACCTCTGGAATACGCGCCCAGCGTGCAGACCACTACACACCGAAGGCACGCTAAGAAGGCGGGAAAAATATCTTATAAATATTCAATTTATCCCTACCTATAATTGTGAAAATTATTGGTAAAATTAAGTCGCTAAATACACTGCTGGCCATTAAAATTGCAATACCATGAAAGAAAGCAACTACAAAAAAGATATTATTTTACGTAAACAGTATGACCTGAAGACAAAATGATTAAACTCGTAAGCAGTCTGGGGGTTTACAAGGGTGCGAAATTAGTAGAAACCGCTGCCATCCATGGCAGCTAAAACGGCCATTACCTGGTTAGGCACGTAAGTCGAACTGGGCTTGTATGACAGAAATGGGCAACTGATTCTATGCTGCTTCAAGTCTTTGCCACACCTTCATCAACCGTATTAGCTGGAGAGGGGTAGCGAGCCAGGTTCTCAGCAACCCATGACCAAATTCTTCAATGGGTGGCAGATCTGGAGACCGCACATGCCAGGGCAGCAATCGAATACTCTGTGCATCGAGTAACGTCAGGAAACGACGTGAAACGTGGACTTGCATTATCTTGTTGGAAGACGACGTTTGGTAGGCCTCGAAGATAAGGCACAGCCACTGGACTTAAAATGTCAGAAATGTACCCATCTGAGTTCAAATTACCGTCGATCCGTACTGTCGGCCCAAACTATCACACCAGATGCAGAGCTCCTATGCCGATATCGAATGCAAGCAGGCGACGTGCGGTCTCCTTGGAGCCTCCAGACACAGAATACTGCACACAGAGTCGGAATTCGTCTGAAAACACAACATTGTGCCACTCCTGTTTTGTTAGGGAGCAGCCCGGTTCACCTTGCAAAACAAAGTTTGCCCTATGACCATATACGGGCTACGCCAGAATGTGCCACTCCTGTATCCAGCTTTGTCGTGCAAGGCATCTACGACCGGACAATAGCATATTCCAAGCTGAACTGGGAGCAATAAAACACAGCATAAGCTATCTCCAAGCACGTACCAACGTAATTCATATTATTACGGACAGCCAATCATCAATATATGCAATAAAATCTCCAACTACCAGCTCTCCAATAGCACATAAAATTCAAAATATCATCTCATCCAGCAATAAAACTTTTATCGGGTCACAGCAACTGCGAGGGCAATGAGAGGGCACACACCTTTGCAAAACAAGCTGCGATAGAACAGCGAGGCGACCTTATCCGCGTCCCTTGGCCCCAATCAGCAATCAAACTAAAGCTGAAAGAACTTGCCAACGAGGCTTGGCAAATGGAATGGACATACTGGACACACAGTCTGCTACCCAAGGTTAATGAAGAACACATAATCTCCAACTATTTCCTCACACAATTTATCTCCGGTTATGGTCCATTCCCCACATACTTCTGCGAAAGAAATCTCTCTTCAACAAATGTGTGTGTATGTGGGGAGATGGGCGACCCCGATCACCACATCCTACAATGTCCCCTGACTACAACTTACCATGTGCGCCATCCCACGAACCCCGGAATAGAATTCCTAAGGTTACTGAAGAGGAGAAATGTGTACGAGAACCTTCGAAAGTTAATAGACAC